TTTTAAAATTCGGACAGAAAATTGGGGTATGTTATGATATATTAGTTTTCTCTTTGAAACCGACACAATTTCTGCGGTGTTCCTTTGTGCATGTACATTATATAAATAAGCTTTAATTATTTCCAAACTATATTAATTATTCTCGTTAGCTAATTTTATCAATGACTCTGGTTAAAAAGAACACCGGCCCATGCACCTCTGGGGCTCGTTGTGCGATTACCGCTATATAAGCTCAATAGGTTGTTGAAAAGGAAAGAAATCTATTATGTGAGCAGCTAAAATCAATTTATTCGTGAACAGGTGTATATATACTCAAGTGAGTGTTCCGTATACCTGTCGTGAAGGGCTGTCACAGGCGGCATAGTCATATAGTTGTTGTAACTCATGCATAGAGTGTGTTTTAGATTTAGACTTAGGGTTCATTGACAGCACAAAATTAATTGTATTTATACCGTTACAGGAAAGAACGCATTAATATAAATGTATTGTCCATGTAATGGGGGGAGGAAAGCGTGAAAACCCTACTTTAGGTGGCTCATAAAACAAGACATAATTGGATCGTATTTAGCTATATTACCCGAAGACCTAAAGTGAACATATTAGCGCATAAATTTCAAGCTGGATTGTCGACAAACATCACATATCAATATGGAATCCTTTGAAAACTTGAAAAACATTGACAAACTGCCAGCAAACCAGCTAGGATGATAGAGGATAAATTTTCCATTTATAACAAATATAGCGCTCATGGCCAGAAATCGTGAATAATGAATAATATGCGGCTTGCCATGAATTTGCATAGATGCAAATTTCTAGTGAATGTTTATTTCTTCGAATTTCCTTTGCCGTAGGATCATTTGCATTGTAGTATCATTCATTGTACGCACAAAATATCATATGCATGGGAAAAGAATCATATGTAATTTCAACACTTCGCTTGATGGAGATAAATAACATAAGTTTCATGACGCTCATTGAGAATCGAGCGGAAATATAAGGCTTGTTTTTCACTACGTTTTTCACAACGCAGGTGCGCACCTGCAAGCATCTAATGTTAAGAAATTTGTTAAAATAGAACTGAACTCAAAAGAAATAAATTCGCTTCGCAAGAAAAATATAGCCAGTGGAAAACCGGCTTAAGATTAAACCGGGAGCAGTTGTTGAGAAAAACTCATTAAATATCGTATATATTAAGAAGCAACTGCTACAAGTAAAAGTAGTTATTAATTTAGTGGAACGAGTAGCAAATATCGTTATCAAGTTACATTGCCTTTAAATTGCATTTCTAGGGCCATTTGTGTGCTTTTATTTTAAAAAATTTGATCTAGTTTTCTATTAACTTTCATTTTAAAATCATTCCAAGCTTTAATAGCTATAATAAATTTTCCAATCGGAAAAGAGTATTCAGTTGTATCTAATGCATGATCCGTTTCCGAGCTGGCAGTGTGATACTTTCGTTTTTACGTTTTATTCTTTTACATGGAAACAGTTCTGAATCCGAAACTTGGAGTTGACTTATCAATTCGGAAATTGTTACTGCCATGCTAACAGTGAAAATATTACTGCTAGTGCAAAAAAAATCATACGGCGCCTGCATGTCGTTAACAGATACACATGGCGTTATTTCAAAAATATTAAGATGGTATAAACAAATTAATTAAAGTAAAAAGATGGCATAAAACATATAGCAAAATGAATGACCGGTCTTTTACACTACAAGGTTAAAGTTTAATGAAAAAGAGCAAAAATATAAAACACGACATATGTTAGATCGTATATATCCTGTAGTCCTTGTCAAAGAATGCTTTGAAACTGTAAACTACCTGCAAAACGGATAGCATGCATGCATATTGCACTGGATAATAATGTTGTTGTTTGCAAAAAATATCTTTAGAATATCTTGAGGATAATTATTTTAAAACAATTTAAGCAAATTAAATTATTACCTATACAAAACGCACACAATCTAGATACGGTTTCCAAGTCGTGATCGAAGCGATCGATTGTTGGGCGCACTGAATTTGATATGGTAGTAGTCTACTTTTTCACAGCGTTTGTTGGCGACTGTACATGCATGTTCGACTTAGATCGCTATTTCAATAAGTTTAACCCCAAATTATAAACAAAACATCGCAGGCTTATTTTGGGTTTGAATTTTTGATTCTATAATCATCACCTTGTGAAATACAGAACTGTCTAGAAGTAACCTAACACTGCGGTTGTGGTTCGGCTGCCGTCGACCGCCGGATAGAAACCGCAGAAGACGCAAAGGAAAAAAATACCTTCGCAGTGGAAGTACCGAACGAAATGTTATGAACAGCTGAGAAGGACAAAACAATAACCAAATCGAAAAAATCTTAAGAAATGTCTGTCAGACCGAGTTAGGCCGAGGTTTAACCTCCGTCTCACCGCGATTCCACCTCGGTCTAACCTCGGTTCAACCGCGCGATCAGACCGAGGTTTGATCTAGATTAACCGCGGTTTTTGTTAGGTTATCTCTGGACAGTACTGTACATTGTATAACTATATATATGGCCCATGCATATCTATAATATACACATCGTACCTGAGACCCGTTAACGGTGGACGATGAATTGTTCCAACTCACTTGAGGACGACTTGTTATCACAGCAATGAGGAGCAAAATTGCGTCGATATAATTTTATTTGCATTGCATGAAGCAGGTGGATCGAAAACCTGTTTTCCCCGAACAGACGCCACCTCAGCCAATAGCACGCAACTTCGTGAAATTATAGATTAAACTTAACTGCTAAATCCTTCTGTAATTAAAATATCCAATCCACTGCTCACCGCATAACGTAATATTCCCAACATGTGGCTCGTGCATTGTTAATTTCCTTTGTAAAAATGGGAAAATATTATGGTTTAAATATAGTAAATGAAATAAACTCCTTTGTACGAGGATTAACGTGTTTAAGGAGACCCGAGGACTGATTTGAACGCAGAAACAAGTCACTAGTGCAAATATGATAATATATAGCTTGCGTGCATCGCTACCTCATAACAACAATGCCGGCCGCGTTCAATATGCCGTCCAATATGCATAGGACGCAATTTAAAATTGAAATATTAATTACATTTTTCAATTCTAACCCCAGCAATTCTAATCACAGCACGAGGTTCACTGGCAATTGTCTCTCCCTGGGTATTACAGATATCTCGTTGTCGGAATGGAACTCTAATATTAGATAAAGTAGTTTTCTCTAGTTTATATTTAAGTTTATATGCGTAATTTCATTTTTTTCCTCTTGTATTGTATAAAAAGTATATGATATCGATTTATTATATATTTATAGTAATGTTCGAATAAATTTATCTTTTATTATCTCTCCCTGGGTCAGAATCTAGCAAAAAGGTGTATAACGAATACGCCCACGTATGAAATAATGAAAAATCTAAAACTCGACCGTTTATAAAGCAGAGTTTTTTCCATGACCTGTTATAGTTTTCTCAAAATCATAGACTCCCCTTCAATAGCTGCGTGGCCCTAAGAAAGAATCTGTAAATTTCATTTTATGTGATCATGGCGTATGCTTTTTCTGAGTGCTCCGCTGAACACCCGTGAAATCAACGTCGCCTAATCGGACAAACCTTTCGATACAAAATTTGCGTGTTTTGATAGAAGTATAGGTTGCTACCTTGCTATATGTCTGCCGGTCAACGCGGAAAATGATGTTAACATGTAAACGTAAATGTGACACAATGTTACATCGCTGGGTTTGTTAAAATTGTCGTACGATGAATAAATCACAAATATTAATATGCCGCCAATTTGTTTCACCAAAAAATATTTCTCGTGGTTGCAACCCTACGCGAGTAGAGAGTTTGGGAAAACAACGGCAACGGCAACTGCAAAATATATTCGCTTATATAATATTTTGGTTTCAAAGAAAATACGATTTAGTATTCACTTGATTTGACTCTTCAAGTTTCCTTTTTCTCTGAAACAGTTATTAATTATTATAAATGTGGTCGATCAGCAAAATTGTTTCTAACACTCCAAACAACATCGAACACATTAACTGTTGCCGCGTTGTCGGCAATAGTTATAGTCAATCAGCGTCAATTGGGTGATACTACATCGAAAGTATTTATGCCTGTATGTACGTATACATTTACGCACTTATACACATTAGCTACATAAAGTTTCGATACTTCTGGCTCAAAAAACCTGCATTCTGCTATTTGCAATTGAGCCCCAATTTCAAAGACAATCTCACTTAAAACGTCAGAGTTGTTAGGCTCGAACAACATACGTTTAGTTTAGACTTTTATGTCAAATTCAAAGTAGAAAATATCTAAATGTTACTCCACAATCGCCAAATCAAGACATTGAACTCGTTTTACGGTTCAACTATAAGTATACTATACACAAAATAAATAAGTTACCTAACCGGCTTAAATAGTCAAAAATAACATTAAAGTATAAACGGACAACTTACAGGTATTTCCCCAACAAGGCGATCCGCAGTATACACGTAACTATCTATATCTTCTGCAAACATACATCGATCGGATAGAGTCAATATCGGTTTGAGTTTTATGTTCTAACTGACTAAACTAAATTACGAAATCTCTTTTATGTACAAATATATATGAATATATTATAGAGCTACCATTGTTGAACTAATCCCTCTAGACAAAACATGCAATTAAACCTTACACTAAATTTCATGATGCTATTTTTAACTATATTTTGAATAGTTAACGATGCCCTAAGGATCGTTAACTTTTACCAATTTTAACTACATTTTTATACAACAAGCCTAACTATACCTTTTAGCTACAAAGAATATTGTTAATATGTGGTTAAAAAAGCTTTATACAACCGGCTCCGCCCTATATAGGTATTGTTTGTAAATTCAACGATGTATAGATTGTACATATAATGAATAATAATTATAATTATAGTATACTACCAGAAGCCACACGTCCAAGAGATAAATATATAGGACTTAAAGTTGTAATTAACAGTTAAGTTATCTGATACGCATCTCAATATCTTCGCTAGGATTGATATTGCGTTGGTCACTATTGTTCGACGGTCGTGACCACTGATCTAATGTTCGGGACGATTCTTCGATTATTCTTTCATTTTTTTCTTTTGTCTGCGACAATTCTTCATTTGCCTTCTGCAAGAGTTTGATTGTCCGCATTCCTTGCTGCGTGAGTTCGATTGTGTGCAACGATTGATCGATTTCTCGCTGCGAGAGGGTGACTGTTTGGGACGATTTTTCGATTGCTTGCTTCAAAAGTTTGACTTCTTCCGAGGGTTCTTGCGGCGAGTGTTTTATTATTTGCGACGTTTCTGACAACCATTGTTCGACTTCTCGCCATAAACTTTTTATATTTAACCATCTTTTTTTGATTGCTTGCCATACTTGTTCGATTGTTTCCTCCGATTGTTCGTTCCTCATTTTCCACGATTGTTCGAAACTTTCCAACAAATCTTCGTTTTTTCCCATCGATTCGGCTATATCTTTCAACAATTTTTCGATTGTTTTCCCTGATGGGGGTTGTTCGTTTGTTGGCGGTCTTTTAATTTTATCCAGGATTGTTCGCGACGTTTCTGTGATTGTTTCCGACGCTTGTTTGATTTTTTCCCACGATTGTTTGATTGTTTGCGGCGATTGTTCGATTTCTTGTTGCAAGAGTTTGATTGTCTGCAACAATTGTTTGCCTTCTTGAACTGAGAGTTTGACCCTCCGCGACGATTGTTCCTGAACTTCCTGCAAGAGTTCGATTTTTCGCGACGATTTTTGCAACCATTGTTCTATTTCTTGCCACAATTTTTCTATTGTCGACCATGAATTTTTGATTGGTTGCCATTGTTGTTCGATTGTTTCTTCTGATTGTTCAATTTTTTGCCACAATCTCTCGGTTTCTTCCCACAATTGTTCGATTTTTCCCCATGATTGTTCGTTTGTTGATTGAGATTGTTGGCTTGTTGATGGGGATTGTTGGCTTGTTGATGGGAATTGTTGGCTTGTTGATGGGGATTGTTGGCTTGTTGATGGGAATTGTTGGCTTGTTGATGGGGATTGTTGGCTTGTTGATGGGAATTGTTGGCTTGTTGATGGGGATTGTTGGCTTGTTGATGGGGATTGTTGGCTTGTTGATGGGAATTGTTGGCTTGTTGATGGGGATTGTTGGCTTGTTGATGGGAATTGTTGGCTTGTTGATGGGGATTGTTGGCTTGTTGATGGGAATTGTTGGCTTGTTGATGGGAATTGTTGGCTTGTTGATGGGGATTGTTGGCTTGTTGATGGGAATTGTTGGCTTGTTGATGGGGATTGTTGGCTTGTTGATGGGGATTGTTGGCTTGTTGATGGGAATTGTTGGCTTGTTGATGGGGATTGTTGGCTTGTTGATGGGGATTGTTGGCTTGTTGATGGGGATTGGATACGCCACAAACCCACGATTGTTTGAAACGTTTGTGTGATTGTTTTCCAGGATTGCTTGATTTTTTGCCACGATTGCTTGATTTTTGGTTGCGATTGTTCGATTGTTGGCAACGGTTTTTCGATTATTGCTTGCAATTGTTCCATTGTTGATCGCGATTGTTTGCTTGTTGGTAACAATTTTTCGATTGATTCCAACGACTCTTTTATTGTTTCCCGCAATTGTTCGATTGCAGCTCGCGATTTTTCGATTGTTGCTTGCGATTGTTCCATTGTTGGTAAAGAATTTTTCATTGATTCTAATGACTCTTTGATCGTTTCCCACGATTGTTGGATGGTTGGTCGCGATTTTTCGATTGATACGAGCGACTCTTTGATTGTTTTCAACGATTGTTTGGTTGGTTGCGATCGTTCGATTGTTGGTAGAGATTTTTCGATTGGTACGAGCGACTCTTTGATTGTTTTCCACGATTGTTCGATTGGTCGCGATTGTTCGATTGATAGTACAGATTTTTCGATTGATTCGAACGACTCTTTGATTGTTTCCCACAATTGTTTGAATGTTGGTTGTGATTGTTCGATTGTTGGTAAAGATTTTTCGATCGATTCCAACGACTCTTTGATTGTTTCCCACGATTGTTTGAATGTTGGTTGTGATTGTTCGATTGATGGTAAAGATTTTTCGATTGATTCCAACGACTCTTTGATTGTTTCCCACGATTGTTTGAATGTTGGTCGCAATTGTTCGATTGTTGGTAAAGATTTTTCGATTGATTCCAACGACTCTTTGATTGTTTCCCACGATTGTTTGAATGTTGGTCGCAATTGTTCGATTGTTGGTAAAGATTTTTCGATTGATTCCAACGACTCTTTGATTGTTTCCCACGATTGTTCGAATGTTGGTCGCAATTGTTCGATTGTTGGTCGCAATTGTTCGATTGTTGTTAACGATGTTTTGATTAGTTCCAACGACTCTTTAATTGTTTTACACGATAGTTCGAATGTTGGTAACGATTTTTCGATTGATGCCAACGACTCGTTAATTGTTTTCCACGATGGTTTGAGTGATTGCAACAATTGTTCGACATTTGTGGTTGAATTCTTCAGTTTAACAACTATTACGTTTTTCTCTCCTTTATAAACTATCCATATAATATGTTTAAGTTTTTCTCTCATTGCCATGTTATTCGAGTTCTTTTGTGCCAAATGATGATCTGCGTAAATGGTGTCAAAAATAAACGGAATCAGGATAGCAACTATGGCGCTGATTGCTTGAAGACTTCCAGAAACCCCAGATTCTTTCCCAAGAATCAAGACAATTAACATAATCCCAGCGTATACCGAGACGAAGAGGATTCTTCCGAAAAAACGAAACAGGAGATCGCTCAAAGGAAGAACTTGTCTGCTGACTTCTTCGTAAAGTTTTATCGAGATCATTGCCTCACCAGTATTCATGTCAAATTTGATAGCGAGTATTTCTTTTTCTTGATTGTTATTGTCATCTATAAAACGATGTGAGATTTTACTCAAACTAATTTCAGGCACTCGTCATTTCAAAAGCCTTTCATTAGTTTTAGCCGGCACCCTCGATTACTTTCTAAAGTAATTTTTAATTCTCTAACCCAACAGAAGTCTTAGACAATAGAAAAAATTGTTAATATCAGTCGATGTATCCGGATGAGTGGTCATGGGAAAAACCTGACCGCAAAAAAAGCAATTTAATTACATAAAAAGCGTGGATACCAGAGCCGGAAAATAAATAAAACTAAATATGGACATTATTTTCAGCTTTTCAATGCTTACATGGATCGTACAATGGTGTAGTGTAGGCATTAACCCTTTGCTTTTGTCTAAACAGCTCAGAAAAATACCCTTAAAAACGGCTGCAAGTACGTGCATGCATGCGTGGGGAAGCGAATACTCCTGTTCTGCATGAGATAAAATATTTTTAATCATATCTTACCTGAATCACACTGGCAACAGCACGAATGGCAACAACAGCACGAGGATAGAAAATTCAATAAGGGATTACAGCTATCGCAACAGCAGCAACAACAATCGGCACAGCATGTTTTTGATGTTGTTTGGTTGTTAAAATCAATCCCGCTCTCGTAGGTGTCGTCTATCTTAGCTTTCTCTTTGCAAACGTCGATGATTAACGTTTTAAGTTGCAAACATGGCGCTTCAACTGAAAACTGCCAATTTTTCCAAAAAAAGATTATCAGAGTCACAGCGGGAGCAAAGAAAGGATTAAAGAACTCTCCGTTGAGAATCAACCCGACAGTTAGAGAAAGAACGAATAAAAGAATTGATCCAGTAAAAATGACGATAATTGCCAAAGTTAAAACTCTTATAACAGCCTCTATAATATTTAAAATTAAAAGCATAACTTTATCACATTTGCAAGTAGAAGGAAAAACAAAAGTCAATATGAAATCAAATATAACAAATTTAGCAAAACAAAATAATACAAGGGCAAAACAAAATAATACAAGGGGTATAGAAATTGATAAAAGAAGAATTGTCCCACCGCAAGCGCTACAACTCATCCTTAAACGTATTGAACGTTTTGAACGTTTGTAGAGATCAAAAAGAAGAGATATTGGAATTGTGATAGAGGAAATTAGATTTTCTCTAAATTTACATTTTTTCATCTTCTGCTCAAAACATGGCAAAATTAAGCCATCTACAAAACAAAAAAACCCAGCCCATATAATATACGCAAACAAGAAGATCGAGTTATTGAAAAAATTAGCTGGATAAAACACAGCAAATGTAAGTGCAACGAAAAAACACCGCCTGAAAAGAGAAGTAGGTAATCCGTCGCCTTCGAAAAGGACCATAGAAACAATGGAAGTAAGAGACATATGACTGCCCGAGGTTTTATAGCTCGTCATGTCTGGGTAATTTATTATATGCTCCAACAAAAGAGGTAATGTCAATGTAGAGAAGATTACCACCGCGGCTATTGATGCACTAACAGCAAAATCGAGCACAATAGAAGAATAATCAGCGCAGATCGTCAACTTGCTATCGCCGATAATTCGACAACAGTTAAACTGAACGGGTCCTTCAATATCATGAGGACGACATAGTTTGTAATAGTCGCCTTTTTCTTCATCTTCAATGTGTAAAAAAAGCTTTTCTAAAAGGTCGGAAAAAACTCGATCTGATCCATTTTTTCCAGGGGGTAAACAACCAATAATTTTTTCCGTCACTTCAATGGAAACTCTTTTCATCCCGACTTCTAAGAAATAAGTAAAAATCGTCGAAGAGAAGACGCTAGCTTTAGCGCGGGAAGTCAAAGAGATTAAGGTGCGACCAATTTCATTCGTCCAAGGCCACTTCATTTCAGGGAAAACGCGGGTTCTGTTCACGGAAGCAACGGTCAATATTATTTCAACGGTGTTGATGGCGGGTTCACGAATCAGATGCAACACATCGGCTAGTTTCGATTCATCAAATTGGACACAAGAAGCATTCAAATTTTCGTGACCAATTATTGCTGTTGACAATTGTAAATACACGAGGATAGCCAGGTAGTGAGATGGAGGCATCTTGAAACGTTGATGATTTTAAGCTTTGACCTACAGGTTTAAAGACAAACATACATAAAGGCACAGCCACCTGCAAAAATCGGGAGAAGGAAAACAACATTTTTACGCAAATTCGATAACATTTTACCATTTGAAATTCTTTCTTTCTCCGATGAGAAATGTATTCACAAAATTGTGCATGGATATGTTTGGTAATTATTGGTCGTGCCCACAGACATAGGGCGCTTTCAATTAAGCGGCCAAAATGGTCAGACCGATCGTATTTTGAATTGAAATAGAGTAATTCGTTAAAAAAATAGCGGCGAAACTGCATTTTCCTTGCTAATAAATAACATTAAATTTGACTGCAGATTTCTTACAACACTCCAAAATACCAGTAATCTGTCTGCACTGAGATACAACAGGACTGGTCTGGCCGTTTTTACCGTATAAAGGAAAGCGCCCAAAGACGCACACGTGCGTCAAATAGGCGTGATCACTCTACTTCTAAATTATATGAATTCTCTTAAAAAAATTGCCTTATTTTCAACAAGTATCTCAATTTTCTAGGGCCTTTCCAAAAGTATATTGTTTCAAGGCTATACCTGGCAACCTAACTCACATTACAAAAGAGAGAATACAAGTAGCTTTATGGTCTTTAGATATAAGCACAATATAAGCAACCACAAGACATAGCGCAACGACTTATTAGCTCAACAGAAAGTGTCGAATAGTCAAAGACTCAAAGAATTGATATACAACCGCGTATAAATATGCAAACAACTTTTAAAATAGTCTCACACAGCTTATTGTCACAGCGCTAGCGTTTAGAAAAAGAGCACAGCGCTATAGCCGTTTAGAATGAGTGGGAAGAAGGCTTCTGAGTTTGTTTGTGGCTAATAAACAACTCGAATGATATCGAAACTCCGAGCTGCCGCTGTAAATCATGTATCTAAAACATCTTTTAAAGAACGTAGAAGCTTTAGTTTGAACTTAGGCCATGACATAATAAAAACTAGGTAGACTCGCGTACACGCGCTAGCGAGAACGAAACATTTCTGTTCTGAGCTGCGATGGTTTGAATTACGGGGGCGTCATAGAAATAATAGACAAAGAATGCGTACTGCTACCTCTTCCCTGATAAAAATTTGTCTCCAAAAATGGCGGATTAATTTATAAGGGCATTTTTCCTCGTTTCAGACTCTTGCGAGGAGTTTTTTGTGCGCGGTCGCGAGGAGCGAAAGCATTTTTGGTTCTGCGTATGTATACCGCTACGAGCAAGAGTTTAAATTTGAACGCAGTTCTGCATCATGAAACAGCATTTGGTGTTAACGGCAGTTGTGAATGTTTTTTTTTTCGTTAGCATATCGTACGGTAAACCTAAATCTGTAATAATCCTTTTGGGTGAAGTTCGTTACGATATAAATGTAAATGACTTGGCCCAGTTGAAGACATTGTCCGGCAGCAGTTCTTTTGAAATGGACAGATAGAATCCTACAATATCGAAGGATAGAAACATGTTGTTGGCTTTTTTTCCTCAACTGGGCCAAGTCATTTACATTTATATCGAACGATGACATTACTATTATCCAACACGCACGAAAATCTTTTTCAATATATTGCTTGCACATGCATCCATGATGATGGGACATGTCGCAGTGCTCGGGAGCTTTCGTCCAATTGGATAATGCTTCTCTATGCTTTCTAAAGAACGAAGCTATGCTATTGGTTGAAACATAAATGTGTTGTAAAGTTCAGCCAATAAAAATCATTCTTGCGAGGAGCTGCGACACTACCCATGCATGATGATTCCTGTATGCTGAGAATTTTCCAAATTGTATATTGAAAAATATAATTTCCAGCCGCTTTTACATTTTAGTAATAATCTTTCTAATAATATGTTCTGTATTTACTCTGCTAATCCGCTGTAATTGTAAAAGCGACCGACGTGCTAATTAAACCATACTTTTTCCGTTGTTGGTAGCTATACATATGTCTCGTATTTATTGAACAATGTTTCGTTTGGTTTCCATGGTGCATTCACATCTGGTTAAAAGTATTTTATGTTTATTCGGTTCGGACTACTGTTGCCTTTGGTACAATCACACGTTATCCATTAAGATTATAGTTTCAGACAACTTAAAAGTTAAAAGGAGGAAAGCGTGAAAACCCTAACTTTAGGTGGCTCATAAAACAAGACATAATAGCATCGTATTTAGCTATATTAACCGAAGACCTAAAGTGAACATATTAGTGCATAAATTTCAAGCTGGATTGTCGACAAATATCATATATCAATATGGAATCCTTTGAAAACTTAAAAAAACATTGACAAACTGCCATCAAACAAGCTAGGATGCTATAGGATAATTTTGCCATTTATAACAAATATAGCGTTCATGGGCAGAAATCGTGAATAATGAATAATATGCAGCTTGCCATGAATTTGCATAGATGCAAATTTCTAGTGAATGTTTATTTCTTCGAATTTTCTTTGCCGTAGGATCATTTGCATAGTAGTAACATTCATTGTACACACAAAATATCATATGCATGGACAAAAAAATCATATGTATAATTTTAACACTTCGCTTGATGGAGGTAAATAACATAAGTTTCATGACGTTCATTGAGAATCGAGCGGGAATATAAGGCTTGTTTTTCATTACGTTTGTCACTATACGCAGGTGCGTACCTGCAAGCAGCTGGTGTTAAAATACAACTGAACTCAAAAGAAATAAATTCGCTTCGCACGAAAAATATAGCCAGTGGAAAACCGGCTTAAGATTGAACCGGGAGCATGCAGTTGTACGCTTTTCAGGAAGAACATCAATTTAATGGTGACGAGAAATGCGTCATTAAATAAATTGTTTATGTGTGTATGTATGTATGTATGTATGTATGTATGTATGCATTTATGTTGTTGAGAAAAACTCATTAAATATCGTATATGTTAAGAAGCAACTGCTACAAGTAAAAGTAGTTATTAATTTGGTAGAACGAGTAACAAATATCGTTATCAAGTTGCCATTAAATTGCATTTCTAAGACCCTTTGGTATAAGATGCGCACTTTGTGTGCTTTTGTTTTGAAAAATTTGATCTAGTTTTCTATTGACTTTCATTTTAAATTCATTCCAAGCTTTAATATAATAAATTTTCCAATCGGAAAACAGTATTCAGTTGTATTTAATGATCCGTCTATTTTTCGTGGTGTAACATCCCAGTTTCCGTCTCCGAGCTGGCAGTGCGATATTTTCTTTTATACGTTTGTTCTGGAGTCGACTTATCAATTCGGAAATTATTACTGTTATGCTAATAGTGAAAATATTACTGCTAGTGCAAACTGAAAATCATACGGCGCCTGCATGTCGTTAACAGATACACAGCGTTATTTAAAAAATATTAAGATAGTATAAACATTTTAAAGTAAAAGGATGGCATAAAACATATAGCAAAATGAATGACCGGTCTTTTACACTACAAGGTTAAAGTTTAATGAAAAAGAGCAAAAATATAAAACACGGCATATGTTAGATCGTATATATCCTGCAGTCCTTCTCAAAGAACGCTTTGAAACTGTAAACTATACCTGCAAAACGGATAGCATGCATGCATATAGCACCAGATAACAATGTTGTTGTTTGCAAGAAATATCGTTAGAATATCTTAAGAATAATTATCTTAAAACTATTTAAGTAAATTAAATATTATATACCAATACAAAATGCACACAATCTGGATACGGCTTCCAAGTCGTGAAGCGCACTCAATTTGATATGGCTACTTTTCCACGGCGTTTGTTTGCGACTGCTCGACTTAAAACCGCCATTTCAATGAGTTCGAATTTTTTATTCTATGATCATCCGCTGGTGAAATATGTTGTAACTATATATGGCCCATGCATATCTATAATATACACATCTTCAGTGGCGTAGCCAGCCTGACGATTTTGTCCCGCTATGTAAATTTCGAGTTATTATAATTATTCATTTCTGTAGAAATTTATTGTTTTCATAGTCAGTGAACACCAAAATATTAGCATAGCGGGACAAATCGACAGGCTGGCTACGCCACTGCACATCTTACCTGAGACTCGTTGACGTAGACGATGAATTGTTCCAACTCACTTGTTATCACAGGAATGAGGTCCAAAATTGCATCGATATAATTTTATTTGCAATGCATGAAGCAGGTGGAAAACCTGTTTTCCCGGAGCAGACGCCACCTCAGCCAATAGGAAGCAAATTATAGATTTAATTTAACTGCTAAACCCCTCTGTAATAAAAATATCCAATCCACATACGTTCCGAACATGTGCATTGTTGATTTCCTTTGTGGAAATGGGAAAATATTATGGTTTAAATATATTAAATGAAATAAACTCCTTTGTACGAGGATTAACATGTTTAAGGAGACCCGAGGACTGATTTGAACGCAGAAGCAAGTCACTCGTGCAAATATAATATATATAGCTTGCGTGCAACGCTACCTCATAACAACAATGCCGGCCACGTCAATATGCCGTCCAATGTGCATAGGACGCAATTTAAAATTGAAATATCAATTACATTCTTCAATTCTAACCGCAGCAATTCTAATCACAGCACGAGGTTCACTGGCAATTGTCTCTCCCTGGTCAGAATCTAGCAACAAGGTGTATAACGAATACGCCGGCGTATGAAATAGTGAAAGATCTAGAACTCGACCCTTTATAAAGCAGAGTTTTTTCCATGACCAGTTATAGTTTTCTCAAAATCATAGACACCCCTTCAATAGCTGCGTGGTCTAAGAAAGAATCTGTAAATTTTATTTCATTTGACGTATGCTTTTTTTCAAGTGCCCCGCTGAATACCCGTCTGTACCCGTTAAATCAGCGTCGCCTAGTATTAACTATTATAAATATGGTCGATCAGCAAAATTGCTTAATTTTTCTAACACTCCAAATAACATTGAACACATTAACTGTTGCCGCGTTGTCGGCAATAGTTAATAGGCAATAAGTGTCAATTGGGCGATACTACATTGAAAGTATTTATGCCTGTATTTACGTATATACATATATGCACTTCTACACATTAGCTATACATAAAGTTTCGATGCTTCTGGCTCGCAAAACCATCACTCTGCTATTTGCAATTGAGCCCCAATTTCAAAGACAATTCCACTTAAAACGTCAGAGTTGTTAGACTCGAACAACATACGTTTAGTTTAGACTTTTATGTCAAATTCAAAGTAAAAAATATCTAAATTTCAAGATGCTATTTTTAACTTGTTTTGAATACCAGAAGCCACACGTCCATGCAAGAGATAAATATATAGGATTTAAAGTTGTAATTAACAGTTAAGTTATCTGGCACGCATCTCAACATCTTCGCTAGGATTGATATTGCGTTGGTCACTATTGTTCGACGGTCGTGACCACTGATCTAATGTTCGCAACGATTCTTTGATTATTCTTTTATTTTTTTCTATTGTCTGCAACAATTGTTCACCTTCCTTCTGCAAGAGTTTGATTGTCCGCATTCCTTGCTGCGAGAGTTCGATTGTGTGTAACGATTGATCGATTTCTCGCTGCGAGAGGGTTACTGTTTGGGACGATTTTATGATTGCTTGCTTCAAACGTTTGATTCTTTCCGAGGGTTCTTGCTGCGAATGTTCTATTATTTGCGACTTTTTTGGCAACCATTGTTTGATTTCTTGCAACAAACTTTTTATATTTAACCATGTTTCTTTGATTGCTTGCCATAGTTGTTCGATTGTTTCCTCCGATTGTTTGCTCCACATTTCCCACGATTCGAAACTTTCCAACAAATCCTCGGTTTTTCTCCTCGATCCTGCTATATATTCCCGCAATTCGTCGATTGTTCTCCTTGATGGGGGTTGTTCGTTTGTTGGCAGCCATAAACTCACGATTGTTCGCGACGTTTCTGTGATTGTTTCCGACGCTTGTTTGATTTTTTCCCACGATTGTTTGATTGTTTCCAGCGATTGTTCGATTTCTTGTTGCAAGAGTTTGATTGTCTGCGACAATTGTTTGCACTCTTGATCTGAGAGTTCGACTCTCCGCGACGATTGTTCCTTAACATCCTGCAAGAGATCGATTGTTCGCGACGATTTTTGCAACCATTGTTCAATTTCTTGCCACAATTTTTCTATTGTCGACCATGAATTTTTAATTGTTTGCCATATTTGTTCAATTGTTTCCTCCGATTGTTCGATTGTTTGCTCCGATTTTTTGATTTTTTGCCACGATGTCTCGGCTTTTTCCCGCGAGCCAGCTATTTTTTTCCACAATTGTTCGATTTTTCTCCATGATTGTTCGTTTGTTGATGGGGATTCGATTGTAGGCCACAAATTCTCGATTGTTTGCCACGTTTGTGTGATTGCTTTCCAGGATTGTTCGATATTTTGCCACGATCGCTTGATTTTTGGTCGCGATTGTTCGTTTAATTCCAACGACTCTTTGATTGTTTTCCACGATGGTTCGAGTGATTGCAACAATCGTTCGACATTTGTGGTTGAATTCCTCAGTTTAACAACTATTACGTTTTTCTCTCGTTTATTAACTCTCCATATAATATGTTTAAGTTTTTCTTTCCTTGCCATGTTATTTGATTTCCTTTGTGCCAAATGATGATCGCCGTAAATGTTGTCAAAAATAAACGGAATCAAGATAGCGACAATGGCGCTGATTGCTTGAAGACTTCCAGAAACCCCAGATTCCTTTCCAAGTTTCAAGACAATTAACATAATCCCAGCGTATATCAAAACAAAAACGACTCTTCTGAAGAAATCAAACAGGAGATCGTTTAAAGGAAGAATTCGTCCGCTAACTTCTTCGTAAAGTTTTTTCGAGATCATTGCCTCGCCATTTTTGTCAAATTTAATGACGAGTATTTGTTTTTCAGCTTCATTGTTTCCATGATTGCTTCCATTTTCGCGATTGTTATTGTCATCTATCAAACGATATAAAATTTTATCACGCAGGTTTTGTAGCAAAGAAATAATTTGATATCTGCTAATTAGTTTTAGGTGGGTTAGATTTAGCGAAACGTCTACATTCCATCTTCAATCATAAATACGTCACATCATACCTCTTCAGGGATGGAAGAGGCTGCTTGATTTTGTTCATCTTACCTGAACTGCGGCAAATATAACTACACGAGCAAACATGTTTCCAAAAGGGTTTCCATAAATCACAACACGAGTTTATATTTGCTGTTTTTTGGGTTTCAGGAATTTCGTCGTTGGTACCAACCGCATTCATCCTAGCTTTTTCCTTGCAAACCCCGATAGTTGACGTTTTAAGTTCCAAACATGGCGCTTCAACTGAGGACCGCCAATTTATCCAAAAATAAACTGTCAGAGTCACAGTGGGGGCAAACCAAGGGTTAAAAAACTCTCCGTTAAGAATCAACCCGACAGATAGAGAAAGAAAGATGATAAGAAATGACCCAGTCAAAATGACGATAGCTGCCAAAGTTAAAATTCCCATAACAGCCTCAACAACGTTAACAAATAAACTTCTATTACATTGCCAATTATAAGGAAAAATAAAATATAAGATGAAATCAAAAATGACAAATTTAATTACACAAAATCCTAAAGCGACTGGAGAAATTATCAAAAGAGAAAATCCTAATACAATATAAGCGCAAAAGTCTCGGCAACAATTATCGCACGATGATGATTGGTCCTCGCTTACAATATTTTTGTAAAAACCAAAAGAAAGAGAAAACGGAATTGTGAAACTGGAAATTAGGTTTTCTTTAACATTGAGATCAGTTTTTTGTGTCATTTTTTCTTCGCAACATTCGCATTGTTTCAAACATTGTTTCAAGAGTTCAAAAAAACAAAACAGAGGAGCCCATGCAATATACACATCTAAAAAATACTTGCAATTGAAAAAATTAGCTTGATAAAAAACAAGAGATGTAAGCCCTACGAAAAACAACCGTCTGAAAAAGGACTTAGCTAATCCGTCGCCTTCACAAAGGACCATAGAAACAATGAAAATAAGAGACATATGACTGTCTGATGTTTTATAGAACGTCGTGTCTGGGTAAGTTATTATATGCTTCAACAGAAGAGGTAATGTCAATGGGGAGAAGATTATCAACACCGCTATCAATACACCAACAGAAAAGTCGAGCACAATTGAAGAATAATCAGCGCAGATTGTCAACTTGCTATCACCGATAATGCGACAACAGTTAAACTGAACGGGTCCTTCAATATCATGAGGACGACATAGTTTGTAATAGTTGTCCTTATTTTCTTCTTCTGCAATGTGTAAAAAAAGCTTTTCCATAAGGTAAGAGAAAACTCGATCTGATCCATTTTTTCCAGGGGGTAAACAACCAATAATTTTTTCCGTCACTTCAATGGAAACTCTTTCCATTCCGACTTCTAAGAAATAAGTAAAAATCATCGAAGAGAAGACGCTAGCTTTAGCGCGGGAAGTCAAAGAGATTAAGGTGCGACCAATTTCGTTTGCCCAAGGCCACTTCATTTCAGGGAAAACGCGGGTTCTGTTGGCGGAAGCAACGGTCAATATTATTTCAACGGTGTTGATGGCGGGTTCACGAATCAGATGCAGCACATCAGCTAGTTTCGATTCATCAAATTGGACACAAGAAGCATTTAAATTTTCGTGACCAATTATTGCTGTTGACAATGGTAAATACACGAGGATAGCCAGGTAATGAGATGGAGACATCATGAAATCGTTGCTGATTTTTAAGCTTCCACCTACAGGTTTAAAAACAAACATAAGGGCACAGTCTCAAAGGCTGCAAACCTCCGGACGCAAGCAGTTGCTTAAAATTTACACGACCTAAGGCTAAGTACGCCATACACTGACACTGATTTTTTGTTAATTAGCTGGAGAAACAAAACAAATTTTTGCTCATATCTCGTACAATTTTTACGCAAATTCAATAAAATTTTAATAAATCTTTCCTTTGCCGACGGGCAATGTATTCTTAAATTGTATATGGATGCGTGTTGTTGGTGCCCACAGACACACGCCTGCGACAGATGGGTGTTTTCATTGGGCGTGGCTTTCGCATAGTGTTTCGTCTGAATCAACCAGTTAATTCTCTTAAAGATGATGTAAAGTCCGTTCTGCGCATATATACCAGGCAT